TTTTTTTTTAAATTTTATGATCAAAATGTTATTGCCTCAGATGCATCTATAGCTCACCCTAACTGAGGTATGTATCATGGATCTTCAGTATCAAAACGGACAAGTATTCAAAGTTAAAATGGTTAATGATCAAAAGAGAATGAAGAGTTAATTTGTTTTGGTAGGTTTCTTTCGACTTAAGGTGAATATTTCTTCTATGAGGTGCCCGTATCTGTACAGTATATTACAATTTCTTAGACCACGTGAGTAATGTCTGAAAAGTTACAAGTTTGTGTAAATGTATATATTTTTTCAACCTGATATTAAATTTGTAAGTGAAACTTGCATGATTTATTGTAAATAGAAATAAAATCTTTTCTAATTGATGCAATCAGTACACCTTGAAACACACCAGCATGTTATAAACTATCATCCTGAAAATATCATCTGTTTGAATTTGCACTGGTGTATCAGTGACATCAGCACTACTGATGCTGTAATATATAGAGAGATATTTTTTAATGCCTATCTGCTCATTAGATTTTTTATGTAGAAAAGAAAGCCAGCTGTGAGACTAGGTCACAGGCTGACAAGAAACTGCATGTTTTTGGTAGAGTATGAGCAACAGACAGAGTAAAACTAAGTTCAGACAGGTTGCCCTGGCAACAGACCTTAGAAAGGGGAAGTTATTGCAAGCTGCACATGAAGTTTTAGTGCACAGCCATATTAATAGATAAGAGACAGAAAAAAGGAACTTTGCCATATGAGGCTACTGTGTGACGTGTAAAGTACCAAAATAATATATGAGACAGTTTATGATTCTAATGTTAGAGATCCTGCAACTCTCTCTTCTGGAAGACGATTGAATAAAAATAAATATAAATGTTTTAACACACTATGAGTCGGTTTTCTCTGTTCTGTCATGGGGACAAAAGAATCGGGGTTAATAGATGTAATAGGCATAACCTCCCAGGTAATGTTTTTATTGTCTCCGCCTTAGCTTGACACACCTCCCCACGGTGCAGCCTCTCACCATTTAGTCAAACTGTAACCTGCAAGACAAAGTCACCTGTGTGGCAGTCCCCTTCAAACAAGGATATGTATTTTACAAAGGGTCGTAAGTTAAGAGCTCTTTTTCTTACGTTGATGGTTTTGTTCCTTTCTTTTGCTCTTTGGACATTTGAACAGTCATCGTCTGATCTGCAAATACCTCCTCAGTTCTCAGCTGATCTGCCTGGTTGTTCGACTATTATCACTGGTGATGTAAAAGGTAAGAAAGGTGAATTAGAAAGGCTTCTGTCATCCAGGAAAAAGAAGAATGTTTTTTCTGAGGACTTCTACATTAATGCAACAGTGAACTGTCAAGTTTACATT